GGAGCAGAGAAGCAGCAGGAAGCAGCAACAGGCAAGCCTGAGGCTTTGTGCAGAGCTGGAAACATCTTCTCCCATAAACACAGAGCTATGAAAACTGCTGGAACAGAGCAGCTCTCTCTGTTCCCATGTACACACCCCCACCCTCTGACCCAGGCAGTCAGTAGAAACAAATGGCCCAGAAAATCCTTCTCACTTGAGCTTATATTTAAGACCTCCCTGTTGTCTGTCAATCTACACATTGTGGCCTTCTTCCAGCCAGGAGCAGAGCATTGGGCCTGCTGTTGCCTGTCAGTCAGCCAGGGACATCTGACAGTCATTCAGAAGAGACGAGACCCTGTGCACAGCCATCTCGTGTTCATCCCTCCTGGAGACTGTCCGGACACAGGGATCAGACTGCAGGCCCACTTTTCTGCTTCTATAAAGGACACCTTAAGGCCTGGAGAACAAGGTCAGCAAGCCAAATCTACTCTTGATCTAAGTCTGACATCTTTGAGCTTCCCTCAGCTCCCTTTGTTAAGCATCAAAATAGAAAAATGTAGAGAAAGGACAGAACTGAGAAAAAGGAGACAGCTCTAGCAAAAGCACATTCAACCTCACCCCTCACCCCACCTCACTCCTTCCCTCCCTTCTCATGTTCCTATCTCCGATATCACCCATAGATAAAATATTACTCACTACGCAACGGCCATCTCCCTGCTGCGAGCCCACCGGGCTCCCGAGATACAGAAATGCTTTCTCTATCTAAACTTTTATAAAAGAATACACAAGCAGTACCTTACCTTATCCAGAAGCTGATTTTGCTCTCAAACACATGTGCAAGACAAGACAGGGACAGACGATACATTGAATTTTTCACAATCCTGACATAAAAAAGAAACCCTTGATACTAAAGAATATTACAGTGCCACGACGTCTTTTGAAAGAGATCTTGGAGGTGCACCTACAAGGTTAGGGTCTGTCTCACCCCTCTTCCTCAGAGGGATGGAATCTGTCCTAAGTATCACCCATGGTGAAGGCTGCAGTGCAAAACAGAACCGACACATCCTCCTGCCTGGGAAATCATCTGCCCCAGGTGCCCCTACCTGGTCCAGCTCTGCTCTTACCCACAGACCTATCCCCTTTTTTCCTCCATTGAGCCTATATACATGTATCGCTCTGCACTACTTCAAACTACTTCACTGGACAGAAGGAAAGCCATGGTGGGCCACAGGAAATGAGGAAGACCACAGTATGTCCCCAGCTGAAGGGGCAACTCTCACAGATCTGAGAAGATGAAGCAGAGAATGGAGCAGAGCTGCTGGCGGTGCAGCTAGGCAAGGCCAAACAGTATGGCACACAAAGGCACACAACCAGTATTTCATGCATGCATACTGGTCCCTAAGAATTGTGCCGATTGCCTGCATTCCTGTGCACAGTCCTTCACAGCACTGGCTCTCCCCTTCCAAAGCCAAGCACCCTGTCAGTGCAACAAGCGTACCACCTCACCAACCACTGCCATATGCACCTTCCTCTGTTTCTCAAAAGCTCTCACATCCGAGAATCAGGATCTAAGTGTTCCAGCTTCCAACCATTTTTAAGTAATGTTCACAGCAATCCAAAAACCTTTAACTTGGAAAACATCACATTTATAGAAATGTGAATAATTGTAACTTGAGACAAAGTTCAGTGACCATCTTTCTATTTCATATGTCTCCATCCCCAGCTCAGAATAACCAGACACCAAACCTCAAACAAAGCACCTGGAGGCAACCAAGGGGGAAAGAAAAAAAAAAAAAAGTCTTTGGAATCAAAATTAACACACCCTATATACCATCTTTGAGTTCCATCACCTTGCTTGGTTTAATAGATCTGATCACATCCACTGCTGAGATATAATGTATGGAATGGATTTTGTGTGAAGAACTACCAGAACACACCTCTTGACTCTGTAAAAAAGATGGCTTTGGGAGAGGAGAGGTAGCAACAGAGCTCTGCAACATCATGCCTAGCATGGAGAGAGATCAAGAGCTCACTGTCACTGCCCTTACAAGAATCAGACAACAGCTAGCAGTTGGTAGGATCAGGTCCTTCTTTATGCAAGATAAGCTGCAAGAATTCCTGACACAAAACAGTGTCAATGCTAAAAGTTTGCATGGGTTCAGGAAGACATCAGCAGACTGACCTACATAAATAAAATCCATCTAGAGGTACTACACACAAGAGGGCAGCTTTGGGACAGAAAGCTCCTGAGCTACAAAGTACAGAAGGTTTGGATGAAGCATCACTTTGTAGTTACAAAGAAGATGGAGACTCCCTTTTTACAAGGAGTCATGTGGAGAGGACAAGGGGGAATGGACATGAGTTGCTCTTGGGGAGATTCTGACTGGACATGAGAGGGAAATTTTTCCCCGTGAGAACAGTGACCCGTTGGAATAATCTCCCCAGGGGAGGGGTTGACTTCGCTACACCGGACTCTTTCAGGACTCAGCTGGACAGGGTGCTGGGCCATCTTGTCTAGGCTGGGCCCTT